ATATATATATATATATATATCTGTGTGTGTGTGTGTGAATAAATACTATTGAAAGGGGGAGCATGTGATGATTTCTACTTATCGTTTGCTTGCATGTGCTATTTAGCTCCCCTGATAAAAGACACGACACATTATAAATTGTGTGTTTGTTGGCTTTCCCACTAACATATTTTAATGTAGGTCGAGGCCGTTTTTTTTTTCTTAAGTACTTTTTTAAAGTCCTTAAAAGAGTTATGAAGCGAAAATAAGATACAAACACGAGTTTCAAGACATTTTAACATGGGAACCACATGGTGGGAGATTAGGAGCACCAGCTCGTGTCCTGTATATTAATTTTACATCTGATATTGATGTATAAAATTAAGATTGGGCTTGTATACACGAAGTTCGACAGTTCTTTTTCTTTTTCTGGGATATGTCACCGACCCATCGACACCATTCTTTCCTATTATTTTATTTGGCTTGTTTTATTGCCTTTCTTGCATGTTTGGGATCTTGGTTGGTTCGCCCTTTTTTCTGTGTGACTTAGCTTGAGAATCTGAGCTCTTTATGATTTAAAATTTAAATTTGCTACAAAATTCTAATAAAACATTCAATATAATGAAACTTTAGGATTAGAATATCCAAGACTTTAAAACTTACACTTTTATTTTCCTATATGGCCTTCAAGTCGGCTTTAAAGTGATTTACATAGCATGATTATATCCCAGGTCATATAAAAAAGCCTCCACACTTAGGACTGTGGTTGATAACTTCATTCATATTTATATATCCCGAGGATAAGACCACAAAACCCGACTGACCCATCATAGATTTTTATTTAGGTGGTTGTCTAGTACGCTTAGGGTCTGCCCTGACCTAGACGAGGTGTGACACCTTTATGGAGAGTGTTTATAAGTTGTTAGTTGACCACTTCTTTCCTTTCTTTCCCGAGGCAACTAAATCATTTATCTAGCGAGTGTGAGTCCCACTTCTTGAGCTTCACCATTTAGGTCATAAGAGTAGAGTTTCTTTCTTTTGATCTTAGGGCTACCAAATATCCTGACCCGACTACCTCCACCTTTTTAGGATCACTCTACCCTTCATGTTATTGAGCTCTATCTCTCTATTAACTTCGTCTATATCATCTTGACAGTCTAATTATTGATGAGTTGTTGCCCGTTTGGGATACGGTGAATCACCCTCTGCCCATATGACTCGATGAGCTCCGACGTATAAGGATATCCCCGTCAAGATGATTTTGGTTATTTTGTAGGTTCTGATGGTAACGAGCCGCTACCCATTTAGGATGTGAGAAATTCACGCTGTGCCTAGTGACTTAACAAGAGCTTTGAAGCATTAGAGCGTTCTCGTACGAAATAACCATCCATTGATGACCTATTCTCCAAGATCATGATAATATAAGCGAAACTACTTTTATCAAGAGTATTCCTGAATATCTCTAAGGATGTAATTAACCAGAGGGATACACTCCTCTGGGAGACTCTTAACCCCAGAACAAAAATATTTTTTTTGGTTCTCTAGTTATAAGTGGTTTATGTAGGAATTCTCTTCGTGGATGTTGTGTTTCAAGATACTTCGAACCGATCCTGTTCGGACGTTTACTCTTGACCCATCACACAAGGGGAATAGTCATCAAAACCTTATAAATAGAAGGAAGTGATGACCTTGGTCGAGTAAAGAACATCCAAAACTTTATAAAGAGATGCACGTAATGCTGATTATTGCATATAAATCAATGAATTTATATAAAAAGAATCAAATTGTAGCCGTAGAAATTTTGATGCAAATAATCAAACGTCTATGATTTATCAGAAACCATTTCCTGTTTTATGAATGTATAAATATACAGCATTCCCCTTGCTCTCCAATAATGTAAAATAAATTTTATTAATGCTCATTCTGAATTGTCTATTCATTCCAGGCAAATGATGCCAATAGTTTGATAAAGCGTTCAACTCCCCCATTGCATTTTATAAACGACTTGGTCATGTGATGTCAGATCTACCTTTTTCTTTCTTTGGAATCAAACTACATTAATTTAAGCTGGGAAGTTTTACATAAATACCACTCAATTTTTTACCTATCTAACACATAAAATTCAATTTTTAAGTGCAAAAATAGTATTTACATATACACCACCTATACGAGAAAAAATGTATTTTAAATTTCAACAGTTAAAACACAATGAAATCATTGATCATATTATATACAACAATAGATCAACTAAAATAGTTTCAAAAGTTTACAAAACATAATCCATATCTTAATTAAATGGCAAACTCTATTGTGTAATTTCTTTATTAAAACCCAAATTTCATTTTTATTTATGAAAACCCCACCAAAACAGCTAATAGGTTGCGATTTACAGCTACATTAAAAGCAAGCAAGCAAACTCTCGGTCAAGGGAGGGAAACATAAAAACCAAAACAAAAAAACAAGAGCAAATATACACCTATAATTGTATATAAAAATGGTGGTATTTACATATATACCACCCCATTATTATGCATTTGCATATCTAACACCTAAATTTCACCTTTTACATTAATACCACCAAAATCTTCGCTACCTTAAGAAAATGAAAATGAAACACCCCCCTTTTTTTCTTGCAAAACTAAGGATTAAGCGGTATGCATGTAAATCTTCCATAAGTCCTAAAATTATTTGTAAAGCCATTGTTTACAACTACAACAGAAGCAACAAACCTTTACACCACTGTTGGGTCCGGTACATGAATCTTTTTTTTTTTCGGTCCTACTGAGTATCATAATTTCATTTAATTCGAATACATTAAGATCATTTTTATACAATAAGCCCAAATATTTTTTAAGTCTACCTCTGTCGTTCTTAACATAAATTGAATCTAAAACATCTACTCTCCTAACAAAATCATGAGAACGTTGATATTTAATGTAACCAAACCATCTAAGATGCCTCTCCCTAATCTTGTTTGTCACTGGAGCTAAACCAACCCTATCACGTATATATTCATCTCGTATTTTATCTCTAAATGTCAAGCCACTCATCCACCTAAGCATTCTCATCTCAACAAAGATTTCTCTTTTCCTTGTCATGATTTTTTGATAAAAAAATCATGCTCGCTCTCTCTTCGGGAAAAAAATTACTTTTAAAACTACTACGAGTACTATAAACTCATTTTTCAAATAAAAAAATTTAAAAAACTAGCCATGATGCTTATAACTAACACACTAACAGATCTTGAAATATAAAATCATATCCGACAGAATAATAAATAGTATAAGTCCCAAAGTCCTTAAATTAATTTTAAAATAAATACCATAATAATTACATAAATATTAGACTCATCTCAAAATAAAACTAACTCTTTTTTTTCTCAGCTCAAAAAATATTTTCTCAACACAGATCTTATAAAAAAAAGGGGGGGTGGGATAATTACATTCATAACACCTGAAACATTGCTATTTATAAAATCTAACACCAGAGTGATTGGTGAAATTTTTAAACTACTGAACCGATGTATTTAAGCAACCATTGAGAATTTGATAAAAATAAAAAATATGTGGCAGAGTTTATCATGAATTTTGACTGAAAATAATAATAAAAAAAAACGGATGAAAGAGGAGTGCTAGATTGGTAAATAACAATGTTTTGGGTGCTATTTATGTAAAAAATGCCCAATAAAAATGGAAGCCAAGATCTACAAAATAAAGCTGATAAAGAATTTGTAACGAAAACAGCCTAAACTTGAGAAAAAGAGTACTTTTAATCACCACAGAAACAAGAACACGTGCTTTGCTGAGTAGACAAACACTCAGACTCCACAGATAACCTACTTTTATCACATTAAACTAACTAAACCCATAACCAACCAATCAGCTTCTAATTACTAGCAATTAAACACCTCTTTAGTTTTCAGATCAAGGAATCAAAAAACTAATTTCATATTTCATTATGGAGAATAATGTAAATAAATGCTGCTTTTAAATTGAAGAAATGAAATGCAGATCAGAAGTTGGATTATTAAAACCTTTAATGGAGGCCACATTAACAGCTAGATCCTGCAGTGGTGATGGAGAATTAGGAAGACAAGGGTGTAATATATAAATTATTCAATCATTAAATCTAATTTATAATGTTGCAGGTACTGCAGCAGAAGATTGAACGAAATCAACACAGGATTTAAAGCAAGGGATTGTTTATTCTATAGAGCAGAAGAAGGGAGAAAGTCATGGGGCCAGCCTTACTATATGCCATGAATGCTTTCCTTCCAGCTCTCTGAGTAAGTATTGAAGCCTGTAGAATGGAAAATAATATTTTAGCATTAAGAGAATGTCAGGCTCATTTAACAAAAGGAGCAGTTACTTGCATACCACCCAATTCCTATGTATTTACATATCCAATACATAAAGTTTACTTCTTGCATTTATACCACCCAAATCTTTCATATCACACCAAAAGTATCACTATTTTAACTTTTAAAATAGTGAAACACACCTTTTAGGTAAGGTGGCATATATGTAAGAATTGAAGTTTAGGTGTTAGATATGTAAAAACATAGGAATTAAGAGGTGTGTATGTAAATCTTCCTTAAGAAAATAAATAAACAATTAGATCTTTAAGATTGGTGATGAATTTCGAAAGGATGAGTGGAGATTTGACCGGTCATGTAGACGAGAAGGTTGACCCTGCCAAAATTCGATGAGGTTTGGTTTAAGACGATATCCTCCCCAGTAATCTGGTTTGGGTATAGCACTCCTGAGAAAGCAGATCATTAAATTAAGAAAAAAAAGGTAATATTTTGATTTGTTTTATTTATTTTCAAGCAAAGCAAAACTATATTTTTGGATGTAATTCTCACAATTAAGTCTATTTAATTTATCATAAATGCTTCTAAGTATCATAACAATTAAATCTTATTTAAGCATTAAATGCTTCTAAGTATCATAACAATTACTAATTAAGTAGTAACTTGCTGGGTTAATTAATGTTTTAATAAAATGTATATAATTAGTCAGAACAAACCAGTTTTTGATAATCACAAATAGTCACTGCTGAAATTTTGATGATCTTAAATTAAAATGCTACAATTAACCATAATAATTAGTTATTTAAACAATTAAATGATTTATTAAGAATAACATGCCTGATCATCATAATTAAATACTAACTAAACCTTACTGGCCATTGGTGAGCCATAATCAAAACCTAAGTCCAACTAAATACTTAATTACTTCTTATTATGCTTAATCATTAGTTGATTATTATCAACTCTACTCACTGCAATCAGGGACGGAACCAACATCAGGCAAAGTCATCAAATATATAATTCTTTTTTTAAGTATTGGGTAACAAAATATTTAACTTTACTATGTATATAGCAAAATCTCAAATTCTAGGAGGGCAATTGCCCCCTAGGCATAATCTGGTTCCGCCCTCGACTGTATTTAATACGAACAATATATTAATGATGTTAAAAATATTAATTGGAGATGATCCTAAAAATCTTAAACGGAAAAGGAAAAAAAAGTAGATTTTCTAAACTTTGGTAAAGATACCCACCACTTGTTCTAAACTATAAACACGGGTAACTATTTTTTCAAAAACGAAAAATATCTCATATAAAATGATAACTTGTTTAAATATATTTTGTTTGGTAATAAAACTATGATTGTTAATAACATAAAAGGCAGAATGATCATCACATGAAAAAGTCATAGACAAAATAACATGAAAACCAAACACTCGTAAGAGAGCTTTACGACATCATTTTCACCCACATTAATTAAGGGGAGTGTAATAACAAAAATTATATAAAATAATAATAATAATAAATAATAACAACAAAAACAAGTGTCATATTTTCATTTAATTCTAATAAATTAAGATCATGTTTTATACAATATGCCCATGTCTTCCTAGGTCTACCTCCGCCTTTCTTAACATAAGTCCAATCTAAAGCATTTACTCCTTTAATCGGATCATCAAATGGTCGAAGTTTAATGTGACCATACCATCTAAGACGACTCTCTCTAATTTTGTCCATCACTGGAGCTACACCAACCCTATCACTGATATATTCATTTCGAATTCTGTCTCTAAGTGCAGCCATTTGGAGAGGCGCATCCCTTCGGATCAAACATATGATACCGTTTGATTATCTCTTCATTCGAACCATTGAATAAAAGCGAATGAGAAAGACAACGAGAAAGATTAAGAATTTTGTGCACTAGCCGAAGAAGGAAGAAGGAGAAGTAAAAGGAAAGATTCTGGGGCTCTGTTAAGACCTAAGGAGGAAAGGGACATCGAGTGTCGAGGGCTTATCTGAATCGAGCCGCGATAGAAGAGGAGAAGGGGAGTCGAAACCTCTGCACATGCTACTTTGTTGAGTTCGTTGAGACCGAAGGGAAGAACCACGTGAGCATTAGAGGAAGAGGAACAAAAGTGTTTGTGCTGTTGCATACAGTCGAAACCGAAGGAGGAAGAGAGAATCGTCCCGCGGTGCTTGTGTACAGGAAAAATAAGAGAAGAAAACTCGCGCTTCTCTTCGTCGAGTCCAGACCAAAGGAAGAATAGAGGAACGGTAATCATGTGTGCTCCGTTGGATTGCGTTGCAATCAAAGAAGAAGAAGAAAGGAAGGGAACTCGCACGGTTGAGCTGAAGGAAGGACGAAAAAGCATGGAACGATCCTTTTCACGCGAGGGTGGGTAGGCCAAACAATATAAGAAGGTAAAATGTTACATTTAATTAAGTTAATTATTGTATTATTTTATATGTGAGTATGTGATTAAGAGTTTGATAAAATAAGTGTTAATAGAAGTTATTTGAATCAGGATCAAAATAATCTAAATTCTGAATTTCACAGGAGAAGTAACACAATTTGCATGTGAAAAGGAAAAGGAAGATTTTCAGGCACCCAAAAGATGTTAAGGTACGTTGGTTTTTCTTTAAATTGACTAATGAATTTATTTTTTGTGTGAGGGTATATCTATTAAATAATGTTAAAGTAAAGCCTTTGGAAATGAGGACTCAAATAATTAGAGATTTCAACTTTGAAGGAGAAGTTTGTGAAGCAAGCAAGGCAGGAAATCAAACTCAAAACCTATAAGGTAAAAGTCAAGTCTTTTGGTGTTATTAAAATTAATAATATAAATAGTTAAAGTAAAATTATTAAATTTTATTACTGTGAGGAAGTGAGGAAAAATCAGATAAATTCTTAGAATTTGAAGGAGATAAAATATCCTAAAGCTAAAAGAGGTTAGCATTTTAATAATTATTTTATATTTAAATATAAGTTTTTTTAGGATGAATTTTTCGTTATATGCATATTTAATTAGTTTAGGTGATAAGAAGCGAAGTGAAGGGTTAAGTATTTCACAGGTCTCTTATATATGCATTAAATTTAAAATTTATCAAATAAAGAATTTATTTGATGCTTTAGACAATTATTTCATATTTATATGCATGTTGTAGCTGAAGAATGAAAGAAAATGAAAGGGTAAAGGTAAAAAAAAAATGTTTAATGTCTTTAAGAGGATGTAATTTAAATGAAAAAAAAGTTAAATGTTTAAGTCATACAGGATTACCCCCATATGGTACTGACAAGAGATGCAGTGTATCAATACACGTTAAAGGGAATAGTAAAGGTGCGCCTTCAGGTGAAAATTTGAGAGTACCTTCAGATATATTTTTTAGAGTGTCTTCAGACACATTTTGAGGGTGCATTAGAACACATTTTTTGGAATAACTTTGGGTATTAATTTTGTGATGACTACTAAAAAATGTTAGATTGTAATTACTTAAAGTAAAACGGGAATGTAAAAATTTAAAGTTTTAATGAAATGAACTATATTTTCTTTTGGTTATTCATGCATAGCATAACATAGCATAGAAAAAAAACTAATGTATATTAGATTATAATTAATCACTAAGTTGTACTTACAGTAGCAGTTAATGCTTTCTTTCAAGAGAAGAAAAATTATAGATTTGATATAACTGATGGGAGAGGCTTGGTCTATCAAAAAAAAACTATTGTTGTTAAGTATTTTTTAACTAATGATCGCTTTCTTTACTGTTTCAATAAGAAATTGATTTACTGTTTCAATTTTGAATTGAGATGTTTGTGAATGTTGTTGATGGATGATTTAAATTTTATTGCACTTGTGGATTAGTGACTCTTTATATGTATTAGAAGTTTTAAAAATGTTGATAGATGTTAATACCGTCTGACAACAACACATGCCTTAGTTAATTCTAAGCACCGGGTCAGTTCAGGTCGTGACAATGAGTCATAACTTTGTATTTAACCAAATAACTACTTTAGTAATACAATTTGTTTTTTGCTTTTCTAGGTAGCTAGATTCTCCAATAAAGATGTAATATTCTATAGTTGACTTCATGTCACCAATTGATCCACCATAATTGACATTGAAAAATGATTCAAAATTCATATTCTTGATTTAGTACAAAAAATAACCAATTTTATGTAGAGTTTTAGATATACATAAGGATTTATAAAAATACTTCCAAAAGCTTCTTCATGGGAATTTACTTGTGTTGACTCACTACTCTAAAGAGGAATGAAACTTTTGGCCTAGAATTATTAGAAAAATCATGCTACCTACTAGACTTGGATATTAAGAAGAGTCGTTAAGAGATATCTCATTATCATATGTGATTTTAGCCTTCATAGGTTGTTGAAATTCAGAATAATGCAGAATACTTCAGAATACTTTTATTGATATGAACAAGGGTACAAATAACCCTTACAAGAATCCTATAATACGACAAATAATAAAAAGAAAATGATATGAAAGGAAAGATATATCACCTGATATCTCCAATAATTAATTCATATTAATTATTAGGAGATAATATGAAATAATATAAAATAGGAAAACAAATAATTCCTAATTTCTGAAACAAAAATATTTCCTTATATTAAGGAAAAAAAATTATTCCACATAACTTTTTCTAGAAATAAATTATTTCAAATTATAAGTCTTAACAGGAAAGACAATAAATCATGTAATTTAAATTAGATATCTCAACACTTCCCCTCAACTTGAATTTGAAAACATCGGCTGCGGTATGCTGACTGGACAGGTAGCATCAATTTGTCAACAAAAAACTCCAATAATCCTCAAATCGTAAGTGCCGAAGTCGAAGTTCCCGAAGCCGAGAATGTCGAAGCCTGAGAGTGGCCTGGACGAGGGCTAAGCTTAATTTCGAGACATTAATGAATTTGTAAGTCATCGATTAACTGATAATTGTATGAAAGAAACAAGAAGACTGCAATAATGCTGCAGGAAAGATGTAGAAAAACTGCAGGAAGGCTGCAGGGAGGTTGCATGAAGGCTGCAGGGAGGTTGCATGAAGGCTGCAGGGAGGTTGCAGGAAGGCTTGGGAAGAGCTGGCCAAAATCTGCAGGGAAATTTTGTTGAGGTAGATCCAACGACAAGAAAAGCTGCATGAGGGAGGTCTGACGGCGGGAAAGGCTGCAGGGGAGAGAACCGACGGCAGGAGTAAGCCCGAAGGTCCAGTCAGCAGCAGATATGTCCGCAGGAAGTTCAGGCATCAAGAAAGGCCGCAGGAGGGAATTTCACCGGCAGGAATGACTACAGGAGGGAGTTCCAGTGGCAGTAAAGCCATCAAGAGATAGTCCCACTGTAGGTAGGTGCTTCGACGGTCCTGGACGAAAATAAAATCGAGAGGTCCGACGGCTGAAAGATCTCGCAGGAAGAATCTGTGACTGAAA